TGGCCCAAGGGAAACACGGTCGATGATGCTGGAGAAAAACAAAAAGGGGGGGGAAGTCGGGCCTGCCAGGCAAAGCAAGTCTCAAATAGGTGATACCAAATATTTGATGGAAGACTAGGGGCCCCAAATCATTAATAGAAAGGGAAAAAAAGGTGTGTCAGAACACCCCCTGGGGGGACACCTTCAGTTTGGGGCAAAGCCCGGGGGAGAGACTTATTAACCCGAACACGGAAATGCCTGTCAGTTAAAAAATTTCTTAAGGGAAGGATGGTAGATTGCCTCAAAGGGCCAAAGGAGTGGCTTGGGCTAAAATATTATCCTCCAAGTTGTGTCATATCCCTTCTAAAGGGTTTAAAAAAAAATAGGGAAATAACTGATGGTTATTCGAAAAGGCATTACAACATAGTATCCAAGCGCAGTAAGGGGTTTGGTAGAACGCCCCTTTCGAAAGCCAAATTTTGCGAGGGGAAGACTGTTGTGGTCTCAAAATCCACACTAAACCTATTTATAGACTTCCTTTACTTTGCAAACTGCACTGGAAAGAGCAATGGACGATGGGGGAGGTTTTCATGTCCCGTATTGCCTGGTTTGCGGAAAGGGAGAACAATGGGGGTTTTCCCACAGCTTTGGAAGAACTCCTTGTACCAAAATAAGTTGTAAAGGCGTAATAGGACTGCAAGGGCTGATGATGTAAAGTTGTAGCATACGAAATAAATGTCTTTGGGGGCCCCACTGCCGATGCGAAAAAAGGGGAAGTGTTGCCCTCCTTTTCTTGAATTTAAAAAGGCACTTTATACTGTTCTTTCTGAGAAAAAAGCCAAGGGGCTAACTCTCTGGCAACTTTGAGGAAAGAAATGGGGGGATAGTGGGGCCCCTGAAAATACGGCCCAATGATTCCCAAATTTCATTGGCAACATCTAGGGGGGTTTGCTATATAAACACCGGAAAAATCGCAAAACGGGGCCCGGGGTCAGGGAATATTTACATCGTTTTCGACTTTTTTCCAGACGCACTCATAGGGGAAAGCAGAGGTGGGGGGAAAAATTTCCCAGCAAGTGCTTTTAGCGTCACGGATGACACGGCGAGCGATCGCACGCTTCTTTTAAAAAATAAAGGGAGTCGCTCTGGGGTTCATTGTAGGTACGCCCCAGCAGCGCGTTTAAAACGTATGACGAGACAAGCAGGGCCACAAAGGCCGCATTTTGAGAATCCCTCCCGAAGTTTGGGGAAAAGAATGAGAACGGGGGAAAAACGGAGGACGAAAGGGTGTAAAAAGCTATCGATGGGGGAGAAAAAGGAACCTCTTTAAAAACAGTCAGGTGTGAGAAAAAGGTTTCAATTTGCCGTTTAAAATTGCCAGGGGGGCGAAGAGGGGGCAAAATTGAAGGGGAAGAAAAATGTTTGGGAAATGATCCTGTAGTAAGTGGGGGAGAAAAGACCAAGAAAAGTCAATGGGGCGGAGGAAGAGCAAATGAGAGATCGATGCAAGAGAGAGATGATGAGGATCAAAATGGGGTGAGTACCTTTTTTTAAAAAGGAGGGGGTGGTGGCAGAAAAGCCTCTAACTAATTCCACGGGAATCACAGTGAGACCCCCAGGGGAAAATGGTGGGCATTAAAATCAAAAATAACAGAATGGGTGGCGGTAATTTGGACGAAAAGGAAGGAAAAACCGGAATAGATAATGCCCGAGAAGGAAGAGATTAAAAAAAGAGCGTATACCACCTTGTAAGTGGATAGGGCTGCTGTTAATGCAGGAGTTGAAAAAAATAGCTGTGGTACGGAATATCCGGGGGAAAAAGGGCACTTTCTTTAAAGGTCCCATAGGAAAAAGGATCTGAAGAAAACAAAAAATTTATAGCCTGAGATGTGGAAATAACGCAGAGTGAAATTTTTGGTTCCTGTAAGCAAACACCAACGGGGGCAAACTGGAGAGTAACTTGAAGCTCCCCCCCGTTTCCCCCGGGCCGCGATATTCCACTGAAAAAAGGGGCCATGATGGAAATGATAAAGATACTTAAAATCCGCGGTAAGGGTTCCTACGGCTAGAAGGGTTAGAAAAGCCCACATGCGGAGGCGTGGAAAATGTTAAGCAGCGAGGAAAACGGGCGTGTGAAAAAAAGGATTTGCGCGAGGACAGAGGAGAGAGAAAGAGGGGAAGGTGGATCAGGTCCATTGACGGTTTGGTCTTCCCAATATTTCAGGATTTCTTCAAAGGGTTTTGGGAAATTTGAGATGGTATGGGGGCAAAAGGGGAAAGGTAGGGGGGGGAAGAGTAAAGATTGGAACTGTATTGGACTGTACCAAGGTGGGGGGGGGGCGAAAGGGTGGAGGGAACTGGAGAAGCGTGGCAGGGGACAGAAGAGACAGGAACCTGGGCGGGGGCAGAAGAGGAAAAAAATTGGGGGGGAACAGGGGAGGAAGGTAATTTCGAGGAGGAGGGTGAACCCTTTCACTTGTAACTAGCCAGTGAAGGGGGAAGAAATAGGGACGGACAGGGGGGTAAAATGAGGGGGTGGAAGATGGGTAGGAGGTGTTACCGGACCTTTTTTTGCTTTTGAGAAGTGGGGACGATTGGGAAGAGTGTCGTACGAGGGGCTCGCATACTGAGGTTTTAAGAAGAAATCGAAAAAAGCGGATTAGACTGAGGCGTTGAAGTAGGGAGTCTGAGCCCAGGACAGCAAAGGTTAGATACAGGAGTGATTAGGGGGAAGTAAACCCCAGAGGTGGGGGTGAAAGGGGGTACCGAAGGGGGGACGTTTTTGAAACACGGGAAAAGAAACACGTGGGAGTTCCCTTGGAGGCGGAGATGGAAACTGCCCTGGCATAAGGGGGACCCTTTTGTTCTTTGAGGGGAACGGTTTCCCGCCCCGTTTAAATAACCTGGGCAACGGGGAGAGTACGAAGGGGGGGGGCCTCAGACGTTAAGGAAAAGGGAATCCCATTGCAAGACGTATTAGAAGGTCTCGGCACCACAGACTGGGCATCGGGATAGATCTGCAAAATTTCGCGGATGGGGCCCAAAACGCCACAATTTTCTACATGTGTGGTGTAGGGATCACCTTTCGAACTTTTAACGATTCCCTTAAATAAACGGAGGTGGAGTTTCGGGTGGGCAAAAGTTAAACGAGCCCATTGCTAGGGTATGTCCCGCCCGGGGAGGAAGAACGTAAGTGCTACCTTTAGGATTGGGAGATCTTGGAGTTCCCCCTGTTTTAGAATGTCGGTGCCCCCAAACTGGGAAATTTTGTTTAACTAGGTATGGGGGAGAAATAACGGCACACAAGAATTGAGGGAAAGATGTTTTTCAAGGGTGACAGGAACAGTATTAATGGGGAAAAAACGAGGGCTCCGAGCCTGGGGGCATTCGTACGGTAAGAGCCTACCCTCTTAAGAGATGAAAAAAAAAATTCTTTACCAAATGGCGTAGGGGTGCCCTTTCCCAAACTTTTGGTCAGAAAGAAAGGCAAGTAAGGGAAATTGGTCGAAAAATGAGAATTTAGTCACGTTCGTCTGAAACTGAGCGTGGGGAAAAGGGAGTGGAACGGGTCGGCATTTAAATTGCCGCACCTAGGGGAGAGGCCGGAAGCATAGTCAGAGGAGAGAAGGTTATAAATCGAAGGAGCGTCGAGGCCTCAGTACCTGAAGGGGGAGGAAACACACCGGCAAAGGTCAGAGGATGAGGAATGTCTAAGAGTGGTCCCCAAACGAGGCGTGGTCAGAAGGGGGGGGGGTTTAAGAAGGGGCCCCGGGGGGGGACAGGTTCATGGATAGGGGCTGCCCCTGGTTAGGTTTTTTTCTTTTTTTTTGTTTTTAAAAAAAAAAAGAAAGAAAAAAAAGAAAATAAAATAAAAAAAAAAAAAAAAAAAAAGGGGGGACCGGGGGGGGATAGTTCCTGGGGGAATGAAAGGGGCCAGAAATTCCCTCCCGCCAAAAAGGACTCGACACCCCCTATAGCGCAGTGCAGCATGGAAACCCCTGCCCATACCCACCCCTTTATGCCTAAACCAGCAAACTGGGGGGTAGCAACCCCCACATTGCCCACTACCCCGGTGGCAAAAAAGAGGGCGGCCGGGAAACCCCCCAAACATACCCCCTTCAGCCACCCCCCCCGGGAAACCCAAAGGTGGCTTCCAGAGATACACCGTGCCCCCAAAAAACAACCCAAAGCTACTGGGGTCGGAGAGGGGCGGGACATCCCTAGGAAATCCAAATTCCACGGCAAACTCGCCACCGCCAAGAAACCTCACGGAATGGGATGGACCCGGTTCCTTTCCCCTACCCAGGAACTAGGCCCGTGGGAGAAAAACACGAAAGGGTAAAAAGAGGAAAGGGGGAAAAAAAGGGGGGGTGAGGGGAGGGGGGAGGAATGGAAAAAAGGGGGGGAGGGGAGGATGGGGGGGAAGGGGGGGGGGAAGGGGGGGAATTAGGTTCGGTTGAGGAAAAGCCACGGGGTAATCCCAGACCAAGAGCCCCTTCACCAAGCCAAGGGGCCCCCTTTAAGAGGAATGTTAGGTAAAAGGACCCTATTCAACTAATTTGACATTGTATAACATTTCGCTCCAGGGATTTATCCTGAAGAGGGGAAAAAGTTCCACAGTAAAAAAATCACATTAAGAACAAAAGGTACAATACTGTAACTGGAAATACAAAATAATCCCCACATAAGGAAGACTGACTTTAAAAGTCCAAGTCGGATAAACGTAAACGTAAGTCCTCTCTAATATTTGCAGGGTTTTTTGTGTAAAAATATCACGTTAGTTGCATTATTCCTTTACCCCAACTTTTGTCGGTAATTTACCCTTATTCCATAAAAAATCAGTCAATCCTCTGTTTTATACGGGAGCAACTTCACATAATTTCTTATACAAGGAGTTACTGGTGGTGTACAATCTACCGGAAGTTGTGAATAAAAACACACGTGCAAAAACTTGTGCATCAACAATAAAAAACCCGGTGTTGCATAATTATGACTTTATTCACACAAAAATTGTTTTTTCCTCAGGTTGGTCGTGTTGAGAGCGGCGGGCGTTGTCGTTCACATTTTGCGTTTCGTTCTTCCCTTCCAGACGACTGGATGACGTAGATACCTGTATTTTATGTTGTTATTTGGGTATCTTTTCTGGGGAAAAGTTTCGCCACAAGTCCCATCAGTCCTATACAAAGAAGAATGTGATGATCAGAGGGGTTTGAGGTAATCATCTCCTCAGCCTGGAGTCGATGTAAAACTGTGCTCTTTTAAGCTGGTGGACTGAAAAATCGACTCCCGGCTGAGGGGTGATTACCTTTTAAACTCCTTCTGATCTTAACCTTCTTCTTTATATCGAACTGTAAGCCCTGTGTGGCGAAACGTTTCCTCGTAAAGAACCCAATGTTGCACATGTTCTAATCTTAATCTACATGAATATAATAATATATATTATATATATATTATATATATATATATATATATATATTATATATTATATATATATATATTATATTTTATATATATTATATTATTATAATTAATTATATTTTTTGTTTTTTAGCCCCCCTCTGGGGAGCGAAAATTCCCGGCTCAACCCCAGGACCTTCCTTTAATTTAACCATTTATTTCCAGGACCTTCCCTTTTCGTCACCCTGAGGCGGGCCTAAAAAACCGGGTTCGAGCCCCCGGCTAGTCGCGTGTTTTTATTTATTAAACTGAACAAAATAAAAGAAAAGGGGATGAAAGGATCAAACGATTTAATAAAAAAAATTTGGATATCACATTTGGGGGGAGAGAGTATGGAAAAGTGAAAGGTTTTTTAATATTTGGGGGGTGATGTTCAGCGGTGTGTTTATGAAGGGGGGGGTTTAACCCTAGAATTTAATTTAAAAGGAAAAAAGGTGGTGGTCATTGAGGTATGTGTGGGGACAAAAAAAAATTATCTATGGAGGCAAAGAAAGGAATGTACGAGAGTTGTGGGACCAAACACTTTATATGGGTGGAAGCTTGGGGTTGTAAATGTTAAGCCGGAGGCGGTGTAGGCAGTGGAGATGTTCTAAGGGGGAAAGTTGGTGTAAATATTATGCGACAATTCGTAGTGTGGAAAATTTGGGGGGAGGTGTGGATTAAGAAGTATTATTCAGAAGGCTGAAGAGGGGTTGAGGTGGTTTGGTCTTTTTAGAGAGAATGGAACAAAGTAAAATGATTTGGAGAGCATATAAATCTGTTGGGGAAGGAAGGCGGGGTAGGGGTCGTCCCCAAATAGGTTGGAGGGAGAGGGTAAAAAAAGGTTTTGTGGGCGAGGGGCTTGGGCTTCCAGCAAGCTTGCGTGAGCGTGTTAGGTAGGAGTGAATGGAGACGAATGGTGTTTGGGACCTGACGAGCTGTTGGAGTATAAGCAGGGTAATATTTAGTGAAGGGACTCAGGGAAACCGATCAGCTTCCGGTTTGCAGGACTTGAGTCCTGGAAATGGGAAATACAGTGCAAGACATCCCCACGGGGGGTGAAAATCTTTAGTTAAGATCGCCTGTCTGCGATTGTTTGCATATATATATATATATATATATATATATATATATATATATATATATATATATATATATATATATATATATATATATATATATATATATATATGTCGTGCCGAATAGGCAGAACTTGCGATCTTGGCTTAAATAGCAACGCTCATCTTGCCATATAGGACAAGCGAAAATTTGTATATGCAATAATTTCGCCAAAATCATTCTGAACCTAACGAGAAAAATATATTTCACTGTGTTTGTTTAGTATTAAATTATTGTAAACAAATCTAAAATATATTTAGTTGGGTTAGACTAAAATAAATTGTTCTTGTTATAATAAGGTTAGGTAAGTTTTCTAAGATTCGTTTGGAGCAAAATTAAAAAATTTTACATTAACATTAATGAAAAAATATATAAATAAACGTATAAGAGAAAATTTTAGAAAGGACTTAATTTTAAATGAGTTCTTGCTAATTGACCAGTTTTACATATTCGGCACGATATATATATATATATATATATATATATATATATATATATATATATATATATATATATATATATATATATATATATATTATATATATATATATATATAACAGAACAGAAGTACCTACGCACTTTACCCATGTTCTGAGGAACTAGGGGAGAAAGAGATGGTTGACCAGACACTAGAGGGGAGGTTACACTCACTGTTGAGGACGACAGCCTTGAGAATGATGAAGAGTTCTCCAAGACCCATCACCAGTCTCTGCTCCCCTTCTTGCTGCGCCTCTGTGGGAAGTCTCTGTTAGTAGTTTCATTGTGTGGGCAGTCTGTTGTAGTAGTCTCACTGTGTGGGAGTATGTTAGTCTCACAATGTGGGAGTATGTTAGCCTCACTGTACTCACCTAATTGTACTCACCTAATTGTGGTTGCAGGGTCGAGACTCAGCTCCTGGCCCCGCCTCTTCACTGTGTGGGAGTATGTTAGTCTCACAGTGGGGGAGTATTTTTAGTCTCACTGTGTGAGAGTATGTTAGTCTCACTGTGTGGGAGTATGTTAGTCTCACTGTGTGGGAGTATGTTAGTCTCACTGTGTGGGAGTATGTTAGTCTCACTGTGTGGGAGTATGTTAGTCTCACTGTGTGGGAGTATGTTAGTCTCACTGTGTGGGAGTATGTTAGTCTGTGTGGGAGTATGTTAGTCTCACTGTGTGGGAGTATGTTAGTCTCACAGTGTATATGGGAAGTCTTGTGTTAGGTAACAACACTTCCCTCACTCGCTTATTCACTGTATTCCAGTACACTAACATAATCTGACACACTATTTTTTTTTTAAATTTTATAACTTTACTGGCTTATTTTTAGCAGTATATATTAAGGTAGATATTCAAGTACTGTACATTATATATCCGTGTAATAAGCATTAGTTTAACATGTTTATTATACACCTCCTACCCATCCTATTGGTGGTAGTCTAAACATTACAGAGGTACATAATGGGTCCAGGAACTGGGCTGCAAAGTTTTGAGAGTTGAACAGATTACGATGGTAATGAACTACATGCGTGTTTATATCCGGTCACAACCGTACTAGTTATTTATGCAGACGTTAGTTTGGGCACACAAGCGATCTCTTCCTCTTCACCGAGTGTTTGACTCACTCACCCAGTGGAAATAAGTCACTCTGTCTGACTTTTTTGGGTTATCCCAGGTTCTCTACACATATGCTGCTATGTATGATAATCTATGTAACTGTATTTGTGTATACCTGAATAAACTTACTTATTCATTCCTTCAATCACTAAAATGATCTAACACTGTTATTAATATTCTTATTATTATTAGTAGTAGTAGTAGCATTTTTAATAGGTAAGCGCTAAATTCCCTAGGAAATATAGTGTCAGGGGTAAGAGTTGATTTATTTTTAAATTAAGAGCGATTCAGGGGCAATGAAGACGTCTTCCTTCCGTTTAAAGAGGAATTACAGATGTTCCTCTTAACATAATGATAAACGGATCACCTATCACAAAGCTCACAGAGGGAAAATTCTTAGGAAACCACCTTGATAATAGACTCAAATTTCAAACACATGTACAACAAATAGGTAAGGGGAGAATGGTCACCAGCAGTGATAGCGGCAGCCGCTTTAAGTGGCAAGTGATTCACGTTCAGGTAAGAATAGAAGATGAGAGGAAGTAAATAGAGATGATGTGAAGGTAGGAAACGATTCTCTGTTCTCAAGACGGAATGTTACTATCAGGTGGTTAAAGTGAGGTTGGAGGTACCATGATTCCTTGCTAATCAGGGTAAGAATATTTTAATAGTAGGAGATTCTAGGTAGATATATGGACCGTGATTTTGTAACAACAGAAAGGTCAGACAGGGGAGTGTGCCTTCTGGAGCTGGTGTTGGTGACATAGTCACTAGGTTGGATAATGTTGGCAGTAATGGAAGAACAATCTTAGTGCTGGGGGTAATGCTTGGGAAGAGCAGAAGAAGAGCTGCTGGATAAGTTTGGTTAAAGGAAATGTAATAAGAGAGAATTAGCATCCTTGGGCTAATCTTTTTTAACATAATCCACTACAACTGTATAGTTGCTTGATAAGGGGAAATGGCAACTGTAATACCTATTACTAAGGAGGTGACAGGACCTTGGCTTCGATAATATACCAATAAGCTTACCTATAGTGGGAAAATTTAAGGAATCAATAATTGCGAAGCAATTTTCGTAGCCATTTGAAAGGCACAGAATGATTAAATGAATCTCAACGGTTTACAAAGGGGCGTTCCTGTCTTACAACTTACTAACTTTTTTCACTAAGGTGTTTGAGCGAGTTAGATCATGGTAATGAATATGATATTGTGTATAGGACTTCAGTAAGACTTTCGAATAGAGTTCCACATCGAGGTTATTGAGGAATTTAAGGCACACGGATAGGAGGAGAAATTTTTTCTGGGTAAAAGGCATGACATGACAAATAGACACAGAGAGTGCTAAATGGGGAGAAAAATCAGAATGGGGCACGTACAACAATAGCGGTTCTCAGGGTTCAGTGTTGGGCCGTTGTTGTTCACAATTTACATACAACGACATAGATGAGGGAATAAATAGCGACATAAACAACAAATTTGCTGACACAAAATAGCCGTCCATTTTTCAATTTCTAAGGGAGGACACTTAGAGCTCTCCAGGTGATTTGGAATAGATTGATCAATGGTCGGAGAAAGTGGCAGATGCAGTTTAATATTGATCAAATGCAAAGTTCTAAATGTTGGACAGGTAAATAACCATGCACACTATAACTAAAAGTAGATTTAATACTACTGATTGCGAAAAAGAATTTAGGGCTCGGTTAGCAGTAATCTAAAACCAAGACAACAGTGCATTATTTTTCGCAATTAAAGCTAACAAATTCATGGCTTCATATTAAGAAGTATAAATAAAGAAGTCCTAGGTTGTTCTTCAACTTATATATCCTTGGTTAGGCTCATTTAGACTATGCTGTTCAGTTCTGGTACCGTATTACAGAATGGTTATAAATGCTCTGGAAAACGTCAGGGAGGTGACAAAGATGATCCCATGCATCAGAAATCTTCCCTATGTGATGACTGAGGGCCCTGAATCTGCCTCTCTCGAAAGGAGTGAGATTAGGGGGATATGATCGGGGGGTTGTATAAATGGGAAACAGGAGTAAATAAGGGGGATGTAATAGCGTGCTGAAATTTCCAGCCAAGAACAGGACTCGGCAGAATGGTTTCAAGTTGGAAAATTTCAGATTCAGGAAGGATATAGGAAAGCAACGGGTTTGGTAATAGTTGTGGATAGTGGAACATAACTCCTGAGTACAGTTATTTGAGGCTTAAAAACGTTGTGAAGTTTTAAAAATAATGTTAGATAAATACGAGTGTGGGTGGGTGTGAGTTGGACACTGACTAGCTTGTGCGCTGGGTTCTGGTGCAGTGCTCCTTCCTTGAGTGAGGTGACCAGACGGTGGGTCATTGAACTAATCGGGGGGGGTTGTCATGGCTAATCTGAGGGGGATTTGTACCTCTCCACATGAGTCAGTAAGCATGTGCAGTTTTCCTTCTTTTCTTATGTTCTGATGTTCTTAAATTTCCAAGAAAATCCTAAGACCGTAGGCATACATCGAAGATACAGTACTATTTTTACAGTCAGCCCTCTGGCCCTTATCAACTCACTTATTTAACCTATCTCACCTATGAATTTGTGCATGGGGCTCAACAAAAATAAATCATTTCAGACCATTAATTACCAACAAAAGCTTAATCCGAATGATAACAAATTCCCCTCAGGCTGCAACAACTCACCATATTCAAACTCTAAACTTATCACCATACAAAACATCCATACTTATTATTGTGCTAACTACATATAGATCACTAAACTTGGATTTAAACCTCCTTAAACTTCTTACCAACCTCAACAGAACACATGATCATAACACATGGCCCACTAGATCACTCTTTCATGTTCCCCGTGTCCATTCCTTATGTAGAAGCTCAATGCAATTGAATGGTCCTAAAATCTGGAATTCATTACATGTGAATATAAAGAAACGCTACCTTGTTTATAATTCAAGACTCATTCTTAAAAACCACTTACTCAACCACAATAAATAAATGTGAATAACTGTACACATAAATGTATAACTGTGACCTATCAACCATGGTTTTTTTAATTAACATTACCTAATAGAATACTACATTCTCTTGAACTGCTCAGAACTCATCTAACAACCACAGGGGACTGTTCTGCACTACAAATCATTGATTAGCACTCGATCTGTTTCGATTATATTATACATTGTATGATGCAAATTTGTACACTGAAATTTGTACCTTCATGTTGTAATGTGTTTACTGCAATTTCTACCACGAATATACATTGACTTAGTTAATCTTAAGTTAATTTTGGAAGCCTTCCCATAATACTCTACATGCAAGGTGCTCTTGGCAGTCCACTCACCACGGTGTTTCTTTGTACAACTATCCCCCAAGGAAGGTTCCTTGATGTTGGTGAGGGCGCTTTGATTTAGGGGATTGGAATCTGGTGCTCCAGTTCCCTGGAATTAAGCTGACTGCCCTTTGCTGGACCATCCCCCCCCCAGGCGCTGTACAATCCTCCGGGTTTAGCGCTTCCCCTTGATTATAATGCATAATAACTTGTACAACTATGTATCTGTCCAATAATAAATAAATAATAGGTAAATAAATAAATAAATAAGAGCACCTCAGGACGGGCATGGGGGACGCAGCACCTCAGGACGGGCATGGGGGACGCAGCACCTCAGGACGGGCATGGGGGACGCAGCACCTCAGGAGGGAGCATGGGGGGACGCAGCACCTCAGGACGGGCATGGGGGACGCAGCACCTCAGGACGGGCATGGGGGACGCAGCACCTCAGGACGAGCATGGGGGACGCAGCACCTCAGGACGGGCATGGGGGACGCAGCCCTCAGGACGGGCATGGGGGACGCAGCACCTCAGGACGAGCATGGGGGGACGCAGCACCTCAGGACGGAGCATGGGGGACGCAGCACCTCAGGACGAGCATGGGGGGACGCAGCACCTCAGGACGAGCATGGGGGGACGCAGCACCTCAGGACGAGCATGGGGGGACGCAGCACCTCAGGACGAGCATGGGGGGACGCAGCACCTCAGGACGGGCATGGGGGACGCAGCACCTCAGGACGAGCATGGGGGGACGCAGCACCTCAGGACGGGCATGGGGGACGCAGCACCTCAGGACGGCATGGGGGGACGCAGCACCTCAGGACGGCATGGGGGGACGCAGCACCTCAGGACGGGCATGGGGGGACGCAGCACCTCAGGACGGGCATGGGGGGACGCAGCACCTCAGGACGGGGCATGGGGGGACGCAGCACCTCAGGACGGGCATGGGGGGACGCAGCACCTCAGGACGGGCATGGGGGACGCAGCACCTCAGGACGGGCATGGGGGGACGCAGCACCTCAGGACGAGCATGGGGGACGCAGCACCTCAGGACGAGCATGGGGGACGCAGCACCTCAGGACGAGCATGGGGGGACGCAGCACCTCAGGACGAGCATGGGGGGACGCAGCACCTCAGGACGAGCATGGGGGGACGCAGCACCTCAGGACGAGCATGGGGGGACGCAGCACCTCAGGACGGGCATGGGGGACGCAGCACCTCAGGACGAGCATGGGGGGACGCAGCACCTCAGGACGGGCATGGGGGACGCAGCACCTCAGGACGGGCATGGGGGGACGCAGCACCTCAGGACGAGCATGGGGGGACGCAGCACCTCAGGACGGGCATGGGGGACGCAGCACCTCAGGACGGGCATGGGGGGACGCAGCACCTCAGGACGAGCATGGGGGGACGCAGCACCTCAGGACGGGCATGGGGGGACGCAGCACCTCAGGACGGGCATGGGGGACGCAGCACCTCAGGACGGGCATGGGGGGACGCAGCACCTCAGGACGGGCATGGGGGGACGCAGCACCTCAGGACGGGCATGGGGGACGCAGCACCTCAGGACGGGCATGGGGGACGCAGCACCTCAGGACGAGCATGGGGGACGCAGCACCTCAGGACGGGCATGGGGGACGCAGCACCTCAGGACGGGCATGGGGGACGCAGCACCTCAGGACGAGCATGGGGGACGCAGCACCTCAGGACGAGCATGGGGGACGCAGCACCTCAGGACGGGCATGGGGGACGCAGCACCTCAGGACGAGCATGGGGGACGCAGCACCTCAGGACGGGCATGGGGGACGCAGCACCTCAGGACGAGCATGGGGGACGCAGCACCTCAGGACGGGCATGGGGGGACGCAGCACTTCAGGACGGGCATGGGGGACGCAGCACCTCAGGACGGGCATGGGGGGACGCAGCACTTCAGGACGGGCATGGGGGACGCAGCACCTCAGGGCGGGCATGGGGGATGCAGCACCTCAGGGTGGGCATGGGGGTACGCAGCACCTCAGGACGGGCATGGGGGACGCAGCACTTCAGGACGGGCATGGGGGCCCGCAGCACCTCAGGGCGGGCATGGGGGGACGCAGCACTTCAGGACGAGCATGGGGGACGCAGCACCTCAGGACGGGCATGGGGGACGCAGCACCTCAGGGCGGGCATGGGGGGACGCAGCACTTCAGGACGAGCATGGGGGACGCAGCACCTCAGGACGGGCATGGGGGGACGCAGCACCTCAGGGCGAGCATGGGGGACGCAGCACCTCAGGACGGGCATGGGGGGACGCAGAACCTCAGGGCGAGCATGGGGGACGCAGCACCTCAGGACGGGCATGGGGGGATGCAGCACTTCAGGACGAGCATGGGGGACGCAGCACCTCAGGAGGGGCATGGGGGGATGCAGCACTTCAGGACGAGCATGGAGGACGCAGCACTTCAGGACGAGCATGGGGGACGCAGCACCTCAGGAGGGGCATGGGGGGATGCAGCACCTCAGGATGGGCATGAGAGGACGCAGCACCTCAGGACGAGCATGAGGGACGCAGCACCTCAGGAGGGGCATAGGGGGACGCAGCACCTCAGGACGGGCATGGGGGACGCAGCACCTCAGGACGGGCATGGGGGACGCAGCACCTCAGGACGGGCATGGGGGACGCAGCACCTCAGGACGGGCATGGGGGACGCAGCACCTCAGGGCGGGCATGGGGGACGCAGCACCTCAGGGCGGGCATGGGGGGACGCAGCACCTCAGGACGGGCATGGGGGACGCAGCACCTCAGGACGGGCATGGGGGACGCAGCACCTCAGGACGGGCATGGGGGGACGCAGCACCTCAGAACGGGCATGGGTGACGCAGCACCTCAGGACGGGCATGGGTGACGCAGCACCTCAGGACGGGCATTTGGGGACGCAGCACCTCAGGACGGGCATGAGGGGGACGCACCTCAGGACGGGCATGGGTGACGCAGCACCTCAGGACGGGCAAGGGGGGACGCAGCACCTCAGGGCGGGCGTGGGGGGACGCAGCACCTCAGGGCGGGCATGAGGGGGACGCACCTCAGGACGGGCATGGGGGGACGCAGCACCTCAGGACGGGCATGGAGGGACGCAGCACCTCAGGACGGGCATGGGGGGACGCAGCACCTCAGGACGGGCATGGGGGACGCAGCACCTCAGGGCGGGCATGGGGGGACGCAGCACCTCAGGACGGGCATGGGGACGCAGCACCTCAGGACGGGCATGGGGGACGCAGCACCTCAGGGCGGGCATGGGGGGACGCAGCACCTCAGGACGGGCATGGGGGACGCAGCACCTCAGGACGGGCATGGGGGACGCAGCACCTCAGGGCGGGCATGGGGGACGCAGCACCTCAGGACGGGCATGGGGGGACACAGCACCTCAGGACGGGCATGGGGGGACGCAGCACCTCAGGACGGGCATGGGGGGACGCAGCACCTCAGGACGGGCATGGGGGGACGCAGCACCTCAGGACGGGCATGGGGGGACGCAGCACCTCAGGACGGGCATGGGGGGACGCAGCACCTCAGGACGGGCATGGGGGGACGCAGCACCTCAGGACGGGCATGGGGGGACGCAGCACCTCAGGACGGGCATGGGGGACGAAGCACCTCAGGACGGGCATGGGGGGACGCAGCACCTCAGGGCGGGCATGGGGGACGCAGCACCTCAGGGCGGGCATGGGGGGACGCAGCACCTCAGGACGGGCATGGGGGGACGCAGCACCTCAGGACGGGCATGGGGGGGACGCAGCACCTCAGGACGGGCATGGGGGGACGCAGCACCTCAGGGCGGGCATGGGGGGATGCAGCACCTCAGGGCGGGCATGGGGGGACGCAGCACCTCAGGACGGGCATGGGGGGACGCAGCACCTCAGGGCGGGCATGGGGGGATGCAGCACCTCAGGACGGGCATGGGGGGACGCAGCACCTCAGGACGGGCATGGGGGGACGCAGCACCTCAGGACGGGCATGGGGGGACGCAGCACCTCAGGACGGGCATTGGGGGGACGCAGCACCTCAGGACGGGCATGGGGGGACGCAGCACCTCAGGGCGGGCATGGGGGGATGCAGCACCTCAGGGCGGGCATGGGGGGACGCAGCACCTCAGGACGGGCATGGGGGGACGCAGCACCTCAGGACGGGCATGGGGGGACGCAGCACCTCAGGGCGGGCATGGGGGGATGCAGCACCTCAGGGCGGGCATGGGGGGACGCAGCACCTCAGGACGGGCATGGGGGGGGACTAATTACTCCAACACATCACTTAACGTTCTAGTAATAACATTTAAGGTTTATCTTACACAGTACATTAATACATATGTACTAAGATAATAACAAACAAGTGATATCTTAATACGCAATGCAATCACAGTAATTTTTTCGTGATTTACTATCAACATTCCGACGGAAGAGGAATTAAGACAACTCTGGTTATACAGCAAACTAACATACAGGAAGAGTAAAAATACTGAAGGTATTGTAACACACACACCTACATTTGTGCTGGAAAGATTTATCATTATTATAATAAATAGGAAGCGGTAAACTTGTAGGGATCATACAGCGCTTGGGAAATACAGAGCCCCGAGGTTCCATCTGAGTAAGTAAGTAAGTTTATTCAGGTATACACAAATACAGTTACATAGAATTATTATACATAGCAGCATATGTGTAGAGAACCTGGGATAACCCAAAAAAGTCAGACACAGTGACTTATTTCCATTGGGAATGGTGAGAAGGTCGATGTTATTGCTGTGATGACGAGGTCTTCAGTGTTTAGTGTAATATAAACACCACACACACCCTCGTCTCTACCGTCATTAAGGTATTTCATCTTGAAGTAATACTTATCTGTAACCATAGTGTCTAACCTCTGACGCGGTGGAGGGCGGTGAGGATATGTGAGGGCGTGGCGTGGGCGTGGATGTGTGAGGGCGTGGCGTGGGCGTGGATGTGTGAGGGCGTGGCGTGGGTGTGGATGAGGTTCCTCCAGGCGCCAATTATCTCCTGGTACACATCCTTCATGGTACCCAGCATAAAGTGACGACTCTCACCGAACACTTCCTCTATCTTCATCTTGCCTCTGAAGAACGGGGATAATAATAATAATAATAATAATAATAATAATAATAATAATAATAATAATAATAATAAATCTATATTTCTACATGAACATGTACAAGGTACACAGACCATAACTAACATTAGTGACATACTACTACTATATAGAAAGCCCCTTGTTATACCTGGAGTATGCCTGGAGAGGGTTTCGGGGGCGAGTGCCACCGCGGCCCGGTCTGTGACCAGGCCTCATGGTGGATCAGGGCCTGATCAACCAGGCTGTTACTGCTGGCCGCACGCAACGCGACGTACAAACCACAGCTCGGCTGGTCAGGTACTGACTTTAGGTGCCTGTTTAGCGCCTTCTTGAAGTCAGTCAGGGGTCTATTGGTAATCCCCCTTATGTATGCTGGGAGTCAGTTGAACAGTCTAGAGCCCCGCACACTTATGCAGAGCATTTCGGAAAAATTAGGCCAATTTTCTCCAGGGATGCGACCCACACCAGCCGATTAACATCCAGTTACCCATTTTACTGATGGGTGAACATTGGTAGCAGGTGTCTTAAACACGTCCTAATGTTTTCCAGTCGTACCGGGGATCGACCCCCGAACCTCAGTGTGTGAGCTGAGTGCACTAGCAATCGAGCCACGGGAAAATAAGAGTTTAGAACAAGGGTTTTTAACCGGGGGTATGGGAACCAAATAATGGGGGGTATGGAACGCGATCTCTGAACAAATTTCAAACAAAAAATTATCGTTAGATTAGAATAAACTATCAGCTGTTGTGTTGCTAACTATCCATATGTAAAATAAAACCCGCTTCACACACGGAGGGTCCGGGTTCGATTCCCGGCGGGTGGAAACATTTCGACACGTTTCCTTACACCTATTGTCCTGTTCACCTAGCAGCAAATAGGTACCTGGGTGTTAGTCGACTGGTGTGGGTGGCATCCTGGGGGACAAGATTAAGGACCCCAATGGAAATAAGTTAGACAGTCCTCGATGACGCACTGACTTTCTTGGGTTATCCTGGGTGGCTAACCCTCGGGGTTAAAAATCCGAACGAAATCTTATCTTATCTTATCTTTGAAGTCATACTGGTACCTAATAGGACTGATAACGATGATTTCGACAGTCTAGTGAAGGGGGTGTGGTGACATATTGGGCAGTACACTGGGATCTGTAATCTTAAAAAGGTAAAGAACCCATGGATTAGAGCCTCCTCGGCCGGACATAATAATAATCATTTTTATTTCTATAAATACATGATACAGCTTATACAGACCATAGCTGACATTAGTGACATACTATATAGAAAGCCCCTGGTTATGCAGAGCATTCTGGGCAATTAGGTTAATTCTGTACCCCGGATGCGACCCACACCTGTCGGCTAACACCCAGGTACCTACTTACTGATAGGTGAACAGGGACAGCAGGCGTCTTAAGGAAACATGCCCTAAAGTTTCCACCGTTAACGGGGATCGAACTAAGGACCTCAGTGTGTAAGCTGAATGCGCTACCAACCGAGCTACGGTTTCACCAAATATTTTTACCTAAAATACACTAAATGACGAACACAGTTTTCATGGAGACGATGTTTCTCTCTTGTAACAGGATACGTCAGGTCACTGACTCCAAGTCAGTGACGTGAAACAGCTTGTTGCACAGCCTGCTACACCGGCTATTACACAGGCGTTTACACTGGCTGGTACACAGGCTGGTACACAGGCTGGTACACAGGTGAAGCGTTGCCAGAATCATAGTTGAGCTGTGTATATGTATTTCCACCAGCTTCGCTGCTATCAGCTCTCCCCCGTGCTCTACCAAACATGGTATAAACCTTGGTAATAAATACCGACAAGTTGGTTTAGAAAGACACGTAAGCAAACACTATAACATATTTATTAGAAAACGTTTCGGTCCTGGGACCTGGGATCAAGGTCCCAGGACCGAAACGTTTTCTAATAAATATGTTATAGTGTTTGCTTACGTGTCTTTCTCTACCAAACATGTTACCTCCGGCAATTTAACCAGCGGACATGAAACTTGCTATTTGACCGCCTGACAATTGACTACCAGGAATCTGACTACCCTAAATTGACCACTGAAACACTCGACGTTGACCATCCGGGCAGGAGGAACGAAGAACCAAAAATTATAGGTGAGGAAGATATATTAGATCTTCCTAATCAAAAGTTACTGAGAAAACTCTCTCTCTCTCTCTCTCTCTCTCTCTCTCTCTCTCTCTCTCTCTCTCTCTCTCTCTCTCTCTCTCTGTATATATATATTATACACACACACACATACACAGGTTCATGTTGCATAATGTGTGTTAGCTAATGGAAAATATGGATGCTCGGACTTTAGAACCATCACATGGGTATGTTGTGACTACCACCGTCAGGATGGACTTGTGGTGACTGTCTTCCTCAGGATGGGTATATAGTGCATAGTAAACCTATCACACTATTTAATGTAGCCTTATTGCGTGTCACTAAAGTCTTGCACAGATCTAAAATCGACTAAAAATGCGCAGATTATACACACATGATCTAAGACGCAAGTAGATGGATGTACACGGTCACATACAGATGTACACACACACATGACACAGACGCACACGAATGACCACAGACATGCACAGATAACCACAAACACACATAGATGACACAGATGTATATGCTCGTAGATGAGCACCAATGTACACAGATACTGACCGATGTATATAGACATATATAGAGTCTATATACACGACCACAAACATATGGATGACCACAGATGTACGTAGTTAACTACAGATATACACAGACATACATAGATGGCTCCAGACACACACAGATGACAACAGACATATGCGGATGACTACAGATGTACACAGACGACTACAAACCTACACCGATGCTGACAGACGTATACAGACAAGCAAAGACTTACACAGGTGACTGATCAACGTGGGGCAGCAGTGTTCGTAGAGACGACTCCATCCGACTTAAGACTGACTCCACGAACAGACTTAACTCTGTAAGCGCAGCGAAACAGTTAGATTTAAGGCCAATCTACTACATGAGGGTCATTGAGGTTTATCTCGTATGCGAGAGTCATTAAGGCCTGTCTGCTACATGAGGAGTTATTAAGGCCTGTCTACTACATGAGGAGTTATTAAGGCCTGTCTACTACATGAGGAGTCATTAAGGCCTGTCTACTACATGAGGAGTCATTAAGGCCTGTCTACTACATGAGGAGTCATTAAGGCCTGTCCACTACATGAGGAGTTATTAAGGCCTGTCTACTACATGAGGAGTATTAGCCCGTCTACTACACTGAGAGTCATTAAGGCCTGTCCACTACATGAGGAGTTATAAGGCTGTTACTATGAGGAGTTATTAAGCCTGTCTACTACACGAGGGGTAATTTCAGTCTACTACACGGGTTATTAAGGCCTATCAGTACATAATGGCATCTGCTGTACGAGGGTAATTAAGGCCGTTACCTAGACACTGTAATTAAAGATGCGATTAACTTTTAAATTATCAGGAATATTTTTCCATAAAATAGGATTAAGGTGTATATATGAAGAGGAATTCAAGTGAAATTCACTGACTGGAGACAATCATCATTCTATCGTACAGGAGGAGCCACACCTCTATGATGCGTCCGTAATCTACTGCATCAATTTTATTTTTAATTTTATTCTTGCTAACTTCTAACTTTGCACATCCCTACCCTAACTAACCTCCGCCACGCTAACTCCTGTCTTTGCACTTCCGTACCCCTCACTCGCCTCTAACCTAATATTTCTCCTTTCGTACATCTCCTTCCTGCACAACGATATGTGACCCTTAGGGTTTAGCTCCTAAAATGATTATAATAACTGTGGAGCATCCAACAAAATCAGGTTGGAGGGAGTGGGTAAAGGAGGTTGGAAAACGAAGTAGGTTTGTGTGCGAGGGACTGACTTCCAGAACGTTCGTGAGTGTTGGGAAGGAGAGAGTAGTGGAAATATGGTTTATGACTTGAAGTGCTGTGGAGTGTCAGCAAGTACATTATGAAGGGATCAATGGGAAACCGATTAGCGGATTGAGTCTGAGGTTGAAAAGTACAGTGCTGCACTCTGAAGGAGAGTGGTTTGGGGATATGTTGCAGTTTTTATAATGTAATGTCATCACCTCTCTGACAATACAGTGATGGGTTGAGTGAAGATGAGAGGGCTGATGTATTAATATAAATAATATATAAATTTAATAAATAATATATATAAAATTAAGATAAATAAATAAATAAATAAATAATAATAATAAATATATTCTTCATATATATATATAATTTAAATATATATATATATATATATATATAATATTAAAGGTGGCCGTCTCCCACCGAGGCAGGGTGACCCCCCCCCAAAAAAAAACACTTCACCATCATTCACACTATGACTGTCTTTGCAGAGGTGCGGAAATACGACACTTTAAATGCCACTCTAAACAGTAAATATCCCAAACCCTTCCTTTAAAGTGCAGGCATTGTACTACCCACCTCTAGGACTCAAGTCCAGCTAACCAATTTCCCTGAATCCCTTCACAAAATATTATGCTGCTCACACTCCAACAGCTCGTCAAGTGCCAAAAAAATCGTCTCCACTCAATCCTAAGACGCTCACGCATTCCTGCTGCATATCCAAGCCCCCTGCACACAAAACCTCTTTTACCCTCTCCCTCCATCCTTTCCTAAGAAGATCTCTACTCCTCCTCCCTTCCACTACAGATTTATATACTCTCCAAGACAACCTATTTTGCTCCACCTCTCTAAATGATCAAACCACCTCAACAACCCCCCTTCAGCCCTAATACTTTTAGTAACTCCACATCTCTTCCTAATTTCCACGCTACAGATTCTCTGCATAATAATTACGCCACACGTTGCCCTTAGACACGCCATACTCCACTGCTTCGCCTCTCCTCGCTGCAAACTATTCACAACCTACTTCACACCCATATATGAATGTTTGTACCAAAATATTCTCGTACATTCCCTTTTTTGCCTCCATGGATAATGTTCTTTGTCCTCACAGATACCTCAATGCGTGACCACCCACCTTTTTTTCTTCATCACTTCTATGATTTGCCTCGTCATTCATAAACCCACCCGTTAACAAATCTGCTCCCAAATATCCAAACACATTCACTTCTTCCATACTTCCTCCAATATAATATCCAATTTTTCTTTACCTAACTCGTTTCATACTCTCATACTCTTATCTATGTTCACTTTCAACTTTCTTCCTTTACACACCCTCCCAAACTCGTCCACTAACCTTTGTAACCTCTCTTCAGAATCTCCCAAAAGCACAGTATCATCAGCAAAGATTAACTGTGTCAACTCCCATTTTGTATTTAATTCCCCATAATTTAATCCCACCCCTCTCCCCAACACCCCAGCATTTACTTTTTTTACAACCTCAAATATAAATATGTTAAACAGCCATGGTGACATTACACATCCCTGTCTAAGACCTACTTTTACTGGAAAATAGTCTCCCTCTCTCCTATACACCCTAACCTGAGACTCACTATCCTCATAAAAACTCTTTACAGCACATAGTAATTTACTACCTATTCCATACACTTGCTGCCACTATTTGCCACTTTGCTTCCCTATCTGCCCCATCGTATGCTTTTTCGAAAATAAAAGCAACGAGAACTTCCCTACCTTTATCTAAATATTATTCACTTTTATGCTTCAATGTAAACACTTGATCGACACATCCCCTAGTCCTTCTAAAGCCTCCATCATCTGCAATCCTGCTCTCTGTCTTACCTCCAATTCTTTCAGTAATAACCCTCCCGTACACTTTACCTGGTGTACTCAGTAAACTTATTCCCCTATAATTTTTACACTCTTCTCTGTTCCCCTTCCCTTTATATAAAGGAACTATATACGCTCTCTGTCAATCCCTAGGTACCTTCCCCTCTTATATATTAGTGTAGTTACCGTCAAGTATTGCGATGAGTGTCGGGTGTAGGTGAGTGTGGAAGACTTCCTTAGGTGAGTACCTGAGGCAGTGGTCACCTGGCTCCTGCACATCATCCAGCAATATGTCGTCCACCACACTGTCCTCTGTCTCCTGCTGGTGACACACACCAGTACAGTTAGTGTCTCGACATTTCATGACAGAACATCGACCCTTTGTCACCCTCATTTGTCATGAATGACTCACTGGCATACCACTTAAGATAAAATTTATAAATAATAATAATAATAACAATAATAATAATAATAATATTATTATTATTATTATTATTATTATTATTATTATTATTATTATTTTGGCACAAATACTGTACATTTTTCAATTAGTTTCCTGTCAATCTCAAACTTTGATAATAAGTATTCCCTGTACGTAGATGCTGCTATGACTCCACTCGTCTTCAAAATACCAATATCGTCTGAGAAATAAAACATGGTTTGTGGTTTTATGACAGAGAGACAGAGACAGACAGACAGAGAGCGGGAGAGACAGAGACAGATAGACACAGGCAAAATGTTTCTGCGTATGTGCGGGTGTGTTGTGTGTGTGTGCACTCGCCTATATGTGCTTACAGGGGTCGATTCACAGTTCCTGGCCCCTCCTGTCTCTTTGTATGTGTGCATGTGTACGTGAATGTGTGGGTATGTGTGTCGATGCATATCTATACGTGCCTTTGCATATCTATACATGTTTTTGCTTGTCTGTACGTGTCTTTGCATGTCTATGTTGGTTAATTGCGTCAAAATCCTATCGCCTACATGTTGGTTATGCACATAACTTGCTCACCACCTGTCAAGAATACTTTAATCCCTAAAACTGAGATCAAAGTAAATCCCAGTGTATATACACTGAGAGATATACACCTCTCAGTGTACATATCCTTGCGTGTGTAGTTAAACCAGAATAAATATGGTCAGTGTTAAGTGCGGTCAGTAGTAACAGCCTGGTTGATCAGACCCTGATCCACCATGAGGCCTGGTCTCAGACCGAGCCGCGGGGGGGTTGACCCCCAAAACCCTCTCCAGGTAAACTCCAGGTAACCCTCACCTCCTCCTCAGCAATCACTTCTTCGATGTCTTCTAAGATGATCTCAATCTCCTCCTTGTGTGTGACCTCCTGGACGGTCTGGACCGTAGCCTCGGTGTGAGGAAGATAACAGAGGAGCCACATGACGCACCACCACTCCACTACCTGCAATAATACTGATCACTTTAAACACACAGGTGTAAAAGCATGTTCACTGGTATAAACGAACCTCGTCTCGGTGCGGGTTTGTTTGTGTCATAAGTAAGTTTATTCAGGTAAAGGAGCACATAAATAGTGTGTCAGAATCAATGGGGGTTCGGTTGCACTATACTAGTGAACGTCCGAGCTGGGTATGGGGTGCACAATAATAAAAAATAATAATAATAATAATAATAATAATAATAATAATAATAATAATAATAATAATAATAATAATAATAATAATAATAATAATAATAATAATAATAATAATAATAATAATAATAATAATATCTTTATTTACTACAAGTACATGCACAAGGTATACAGGCCTAACTGACATCAGTGACATACTAGATTAATATAGTAGTATGTCACAGATGTCAGCTAGGTCTGATAACAAGCTAGGATTGTTATACAAAGCATTTCGGGCAAATTAGGTCAGTTTTGTCCCAGGATGTGACCCACACCAGTCGACTAAAACCCAGGTACCCATTTTACTGATGGGAAATATTGACAAATGGTGTAAGAAAACATACCCAGTGTTTCTACCCTCGCCGGGAATCGAACCCGGACGTCAGCGTGTGAAGTGATAGCTTTAGCCACCAGGCCACGAGATATTAAACTAACTAAATTAAGGTTCGAGTTCACGTGGGTTCGTTTGCGCTATACTGGTGAGCGTCCGAGTTCATGTGGGTTCGTTTGTGTTATACTGGTGAGCGTCTGAGTTCATGTGGGTTCGTTTGTGTTATACTGGTGAGCGTCTGAGTTCACGTGGGTTCGTTTGCGCTATACTGGTGAGCGTCCGAGTTCATGTGGGTTCGTTTGCGCTATACTGGTGAGCGTCCGAGTTCATGTGGGTTCGTTTGCGCTATACTGGTGAGCGTCCGAGTTCATGTGGGTTCGTTTGCGCTATACTGGTGAGCGTCCGAGTTCATGTGGGTTCGTTTGCGCTATACTGGTGAGCGTCCGAGTTCATGTGGGTTCGTTTGCGCTATACTGGTGAGCGTCCGAGTTCATGTGGGTTCGTTTGCTCCATATATTATACGATGGTACCCATATCTCTGTACCAAGGGAAAGGGGAAGTTTTCTGCAACTCCATTGCTAAACAATTACTTTGCATGACCTACTTCCACTCGAGGGCAACGCTCACCTGTGACCTCAACTCCAGCTGCTTCACCTCACTTCTGCTGCAGTATATAAGGTTGGGCCGCATGCTAAAATATCTGTAAGCTTTAGCCTTGAGGGATTAACTACCTCCTTCCAAGGCTGACGGGCCTATCACATCAAAACTACTTATACTGTCTCCACATTGTAACCTTTGTAAAGAAATAAAATATTTAAGTATTACACATGCATATGATTCATCAAGGTACTGGGTAGATGTGGTACAGCTAGTCCTAGTTGGTATACACCTTACCTGGAGTATACCTGGAGGAGGTTCCGGAGGTCAATGCCCCCGCGGCCCGGTTCATGCCCAAACCTCGCGGTGGATTAGGGCCTGATCAACTAGGCTGTTACTGCAGGTTGCACGTAAACCGACGTACGAACCACAGCCCGGCTGGTCAGGTACTGACTTTACAAGTCCTTGGTAATTGATACCAATAAATTGATTTAGAGAGACACGTGAGCAAACACTAGGACATATTTGTTAGAAAACGTATCGGTCCTGGGACCTTGATCACTCCTGACATACAGAGGTTAAAATGTCTGTATATATAGGGAGAGTGAGGTGTTTTTCAGGTCACTGTCACTCGCACCCCATTCTCCTCCTGTATAATATACTGTCATTTTAATCTATGTTAGAAGTGATCAAGGTCCCAGACCGAATTTTCTGATATGTCCTAGTGTCTGTTCACAAGTCTTTTTAAACCAGTCCTTGTTGCCGGGACGGAGATGTGGCCTACAGCGGTATTTCGCTCTTCAGGACTATAAAAATTCCTCATGACGCGGGTGTTAGTCACATAATGAAGTAGTCGTTGGAAGTTTTGGTCATGTGACCGTGACCTTCAAATGATATGTCAGTCCATCCCAAAGAGATTAAATACGATAACATATGATGATACGTTTCCCGCCCCATTGAAAAAAATAACATTTTCTTATTTTAATTATGACATAAAACTGCTTTTGATATAAAAGCGACAAGATATAAACTCAAGATCAGTCATAATCAAAGACTGTTAATTCATTAACAAAATACTGGGCGGGAGACTCGAACCGTGGTGCTTGTGGTCTGTTTATTGACAGTCGTTCAATACGACTTGTCTTGAGTTAATGGACTATCTGGCTCTGAGGGATATGAGACCAGATATACCACAACAGCTTCTGGGGCTGTGGGATGAGACAATAGAGTTATAGCTGGTGCCGCTGATACATCCAGGTCACATTTGTGTTGGTTTTAAAGTCATCCTATTATAAGCTCCTTCTCTGAGTAGTTACAAAGTTGGGCCTGGTATGCACAAGGGCCAGGGATCGAGTTCCCGACCAGTATTCTGCTTATACCTACCTATATATTTAGAGTGTATCTTGTATACTGGTGCATGGAAGTGAAACTCAACCAGATATTTGTAAGTTTTCACTTTTGACCCTTAGCAGGAAGAAGATAAATATGATAGCCTAAACCATAGCCGAACTTAGGGTAAATGTCTCATGTAGACAAATGGTTCAAAAAACCGACGAGTTGATAAATCAGACACATGTGCAACACTTGGGTATCTTTACTGAGGAAACGTTTCACCACACAGTGGCTTCATCAGTCCTATACAAAAAAAAAAAAAAACGGTGAAGATCAGGAGTTTGATGTAATCGGTTCCTAAGCCTGGAGTCGATGTAATAATTAGCAAAATGTGATCAGTCATGAGGGTGTCTTCTCAAAATTCAACTTCAGTAACAAAAACATACAATGGGAGCAAGTCAACCATGTCCTAAATGAAACAAACTGGGAAGATATCCTGAACAACACGGATCCGAACCTTTGCCTAGAAAAAATTAACTCTGTGGTTCATGAGGTCTGCTCAAGGCACATTCCATTAAGAAAAAGAAAGAGAAGATGTAAACTAGAAAGAGAGATATGCTTCCTATACAGACGAAGGCAAAGAATCACAGAGCTGCTGAAAGGGGCCAGTATATCAGAAATACGAAGGGAGACAGCGCAATAAGTGTCAGGGGCCCAAGATTATTCAACTGCCTCCCAGCATACATAAGGGAGATTACCAATAGACCCCTGGCTGTCTTCAAGAAGGCACTGGACAGGCACCTAAAGTCAGCACCTGATCAGCCGGGCTGTAGTTCGCACGTCAGTTTGTGTGAGGCCATCAGTAACAGCCTGGCTGATCAGACCCTGATCCACCACGAGGCCTGGTCTCAGACTGGCCCTCGAAACCCTCTCCAGGTATACCTCCAACCATTCTTCTTTGTATTATTAACACGGTTGACTAGTATCCCAGGATAATCCAAGAAAGCCAGGCACTTCGATTTATTTCTATTTTGTTTTTTCTTCAGAATGCGATCGTCAACAGTCTACTAACACACAGTTACTTACCTGCTAGATAAGATCAACCAGGCTGTGATGGCCATGTGCGCCAGCGGGCCACCAACAGAAACAACATTATTATTATTATTATTACATTCATGAGAGGAGTGCTAAACACTTAACATAGGGGTCACACAGCGCCTGGGGAAAATGGAAGGTATTCAGGCTTGATTCAAGGAATTGGAGCATTGGTCCAGTTCCTTAGACCAACAGAATTAGCCTCGTTCAACAAGCAGTCAAAACTATCTAGTCCTCTTAGTTGTGGATTCCATCTTTTACTGCATCTTGTCTTCCTAAACCAAAATAATCAACAGACGAATTAATATTTAAAAATGCACTAAAACATTTACCTTCATATTTGTTGTCACACGTTATGTGGTTAGAAATATGTGTCAAAATAACTGATAGCACAGCCTCTCAGGCTGTGTGGTTGTGTTTCTGGCCAGTGAGATATGTTGGTAAGTTATCTCTCAGTGTGGGAAGTACCTCAGGTGTTACCAGTTCTAGAGATAAGTTATAAACGACACAGTGGAAGCAGTGAGCGTCTGTATAGTTTATTACCATTGTAACTTGTTTAGCTATCAGATTATTATTATTATTATTATAATCAAGGGGGAAGCGCTAAACCCGGAGGATTATACAGCGCCTGGGGGGGGGGATGTGGAAGGCATTCAGGCTTAATTCGGGGAACTGGAGCACAGATCCAATTCTCTAAATCAAGAGCCCCTCACCAACATCAAGGAACCTTCCTTGAGGGGTTAGCTATCAGAACTTTGCGGCTCAGTCCCTGGACCCGTCATGTGCCTCTGTAATGTTTGGACAACCACCCACAGGGTGGGTTATGGGGTGCATAATGAAGATATTAAACTAATTTATTGAGTCTGCCTCACGCAGATTATCCGATATTGTATACTCTCTCTCTCTCTCTCTCTCTCTCTCTCTCTCTCTCTCTCTCTCTCTCTCTCTCTCTCTCTCTCTCTCTCTCTCTCTCTCTCTCTCTCTCTCTCTCTCTCTCTCTCTCTCTCTCTATCTCTTTCTCTCCTAAGAAGCCTATTCGAAATATTAACCCAGAAGGGTTATTAACTTGCAATAACCCAATAAAGCCTATTATTTCTAGTGGGGTCTTTTTTTCAGGTTCTCTCTCAAGATGCGACCGACAACAGTGTACTAGCTCCCATGTATCTATTTGCTACTAGGTGGGTATCTACCCCACGTTGCCTAGTAAGTGAGCCGAGGTAACAATATAACCGCTACCCTGACAAAGCTTCCACTAACAATAATTATCTCAATAATGTAACCATATTGGAATCATCAACAGTTCAATAATGTGTTCACATCATACTGTTCAACAATGTAGTGTTGACAACATACTGTTCAACAATGTAGTGTTGACAACATACTGTTCAACAATGTAGTGTTGACAACATACTGTTCAACAATGTAGTGTTGACAACATACTGTTCAACAATGTAGTGTTGACAACATACTGTTCAACAATGTAGTGTTGACAACATACTGTTCAACAATGTAGTGTTGACAAACTGTTTTCAGTATTAAGTAGTTTTAACCTTAGTCAAAGATGCCCTTAACACCGTGCACAACATAGGCCTTAGAAAGTGCCTTGATGCTGGTTGATCCGAGGAACTGGAGCTACCTTACCTTCCCTCCGCTCAAACGTTGCATAAAACAGGGCTTTCAAAAATAAATATATCACGTATATGTAAATCCAGAACTGAATCCACATCCTTTGTTCTTTAATAAAGTATGAGGCGGACCTTGACTTAACATTCCCCATCATGATAATCTTGTTATGTAGGAAAATGTATTTCAAATATATTCGTTGAAAGAAATATCTATAAATGTAAAGGTATCGTTATCTTTAAAAAGTGTTTGCTGATAAATGATAAGGTTGATATTAATTTTTTCGAGGTTAAGAAAGTTGTTTACTGAGAGCAAATAACTTCTAACAATACTCGCACACACATATGTGTGTGAAAGTTGTTTACTGAGAGCAAATAACTTCTAACAATACTCACACACACATATGTGTGTGTGTGTGTGTGTGCACTCACCTAGTGTGTGTGTGTGTGTGTGTGTGTGTGTGTGTGTGTGTGTGTGTGTGTGTGTGTATGTACTCACCTATTTGTACTCACCTATTTGTGGTTGCAGGGGTCGAGTCCTAGCTCCTGGCCCCGCCTCTTCACCGGTTGCTACTAGGCCCTCTCTCTCCCCGCTCCATGAGCTTTATCAAACCTCGTCTTAAAACTGTGTATGGTTCCTGCCTCCACTACGTCATTTTCTAGGCTATTCCACTGCCTTACAACTCTATGACTGAAGAAATACTTCCTACTATCTCTCTGACTCATTTGTGTCTTCAACTTCCAATTGTGGCCTCTTGTTTCTGTGTCCCCTCCCTGGAACATCCTGTCTTTGTCCACCTTGTCTATTCCACGCAGTATTTTATATGTCGTTATCATGTCTCCCCTGACCCTCCTGTCCTCCAGTGTCGTCAGGCCGATTTCCCTTAATCTTTCTTCATAGGACATTCCCCTTAGCTCTGGAACTAACCTTGTCGCAAACCTTTGTACTTTCTCTAGTTTCTTGACGTGCTTTATCAAGTGCGGGTTCCAAACAGGTGCTGCATACTCCAGTATGGGCCTGACATACACGGTGTACAGTGTCTTGAATGATTCCTTACTAAGGTATCGGAATGCTGTTCTCAGGTTTGCCAGGCGCCCATATGCTGCAGCAGTTATCTGATTGATGTGTGCTTCCGGAGACATGCTCGGTGTTATACTCACCCCAAGATCTTTCTCCTTGAGTGAGGTTTGCAGTCTTTGGCCACCTAGCCTATACTCTGTCTGTGGTCTTCTGTGCCCTTCCCCTATCTTCATGACTTTGCATTTGGCAGGATTAAATTCGAGAAGCCATTTGCTGGACCAGGTGTCCAGTCTGTCCAGGTCTCTTTGAAGTCCTGCCTGGTCCTCATCAGATTTAATTCTCCTCATTAACTTCACATCATCTGCAAACAGGGACACTTCTGAGTCTAACCCTTCCGTCATGTCGTTCACATATACCAAAAATAGCACTGGTCCTAGGACCGACCCCTGTGGGACCCCGCTGTACTCACCTAGTTGTACTCACCTAGTTGAGGTTGCGGGGGTCGAGTCCGAGCTCCTGGCCCCGCCTCTTCACTGATCGCTACTAGGTCACTCTCCCTGAGCCGTGAGCTTTATCATACCTCTGCTTAAAGCTATGTATGGATCCTGCCTCCACTACATCGCTTCCCAAACTATTCCACTTACTGACTACTCTGTGGCTGAAGAAATACTTCCTAACATCCCTGTGATTCATCTGTGTCTTCAGCTTCCAACTGTGTCCCCTTGTTACTGTGTCCAATCTCTGGAACATCCTGTCTTTGTCCACCTTGTCAATTCCTCTCAGTATTTTGTATGTCGTTATCATGTCCTCCCTATCTCTCCTGTCCTCCAGTGTCGTCAGGTTGATTTCCCTTAACCTCTCCTCGTAGGACATACCTCTTAGCTCTGGGACTAGTCTTGTTGCAAACCTTTGCACTTTCTCTAGTTTCTTTACGTGCTTGGCTAGGTGTGGGTTCCAAACTGGTGCCGCATACTCCAATATGGGCCTAACGTATACGGTGTACAGGGTCCTGAACGATTCCTTATTAAGATGTCGGAATGCTGTTCTGAGGTTTGCTAGGCGCCCATATGCTGCAGCAGTTATTTGGTTGATGTGCGCTTCAGGAGATGTGCCTGGTGTTATACTCACCCCAAGATCTTTTTCCTTGAGTGAGGTTTGTAGTCTCTGACCCCCTAGACTGTACTCCGTCTGCGGCCTTCTTTGCCCTTCCCCAATCTTCATGACTTTGCACTTGGTGGGATTGAACTCCAGGAGCCAATTGCTGGACCAGGTCTGCAGCCTGTCCACAGATCCCTTTGTAGTTCTGCCTGGTCTTCGATCGAGTGTATTCTTCTCATCAACTTCACGTCATCTGCAAACAGGGGTAGTGTGTGTGTGTGTGTGTGTGTGTGTGTGTGTGTGTGTGTGTGTGTGTGTGTGTGTGCGTGTGTGTGTGTGTGTGTGTGTGTGTGTGTGTGTGTGTGTGTGCGTGTGTGTGTGTGTGTGTGTGTGTGTGTGTGTGTGTGTGTGTGTGTGTGTGTGTGTGTGTGTGGTGTGTGTGTGTGTGTGTGCGTGTGTGTGTCTGTGTGTCTGTGTGTGTGTATGTGTGTGTGTGTGCGTGTGTGTGTATACTCACCTATTTGTACTCACCTATTTGTGGTTGCAGGGGTCGAAACTCAGCTCCTGGCCCCGCCTCTTCACTGACTGCTAATAGGTCTTCTCTCTCCCTGCTCCATGAGCTTTATTAAACCTCGTCTTGAAGCTATGTATGGTTCCTGCCTCCACTACATCACTTGCCAGACTATTCCACTTCCTGACAGCTCTATGACTGAAGGAATACTTCCTAACATCCTTTTGAGTCATCTGAGTCTTCAACTTCCAATTGTGACCCCTTGTTGCTATGTCCCATCTCTGGAACATCCTGTCTCTGTCCACTTTATCTATTCCATGCAGTATTTTGTATGTCGTTATCATGTCTTCCCTAACCCTCCTATCCTCCAGTGTCGTCAGGCCGATTTAATCTTTCATCGTAGGACAATCACCTTAGCTCTGGAACTAACCTTCTTGCAAACCTTCGCACTTTCTCTAATTTCTTGACGTGCTTGACCAGGTGTGGGTTCCAAACTGGTGCTGCATACTCCAGTATGGCCCTGACGTACATGGTGTACAGAGTCTTGAACGATTCCTTACTGAGGTATTGGAACGCTATTCTCTGGTTTGCCAGGCGCCCATATGCTGCGGCAGTTATCTGGTTGTGTGCTTCCGGAGACGTGCTCGGTATTATACTCACCTGTGTGTGTGTGTGTACTCACCTAGTTGTACTCACCTAGTTGAGGTTGCGGGGGGTCGAGTCCGAGCTCCTGGCCCCGCCTCTTCACTGATCGCTACTAGGTCACTCTCCCTGAGCCGTGAGCTTTATCATACCTCTGCTTAAAGCTATGTATGGATCCTGCCTCCACTACATCGCTTCCCAAACTATTCCACTTACTGACTACTCTGTGGCTGAAGAAATACTTCCTAACATCCCTGTGATTCATCTGTGACTTCAGCTTCCAACTGTGTCCCCTTGTTACTGTGTCCAATCTCTGGAACATCCTGTCTTTGTCCACCTTGTCAATACCTCTCAGTATTTTGTATGTCGTTATCATGTCCCCCCTATCTCTCCTGTCCTCCAGTGTCGTCAGGTTGATTTCCCTTAACCTCTCCTCGTAGGACATACCTCTTAGCTCTGGGACTAGTCTTGTTGCAAACCTTTGCACTTTCTCTAGTTTCTTTACGTGCTTGGCTAGGTGTGGGTTCCAAACTGGTGCCGCATACTCCAATATGGGCCTAAGGTACACGGTGTACAGGGTCCTGAACGATTCCTTATTAAGATGTCGGAATGCTGTTCTGAGGTTTGCTAGGCGCCCATATGCTGCAGCAGTTATTTGGTTGATGTGCGCTTCAGGAGATGTGCCTGGTGTTATACTCACCCCAAGATCTTTTTCCTTGAGTGAGGTTTGTAGTCTCTGGCCCCCTAGACTGTACTCCGTCTGCGGTCTTCTTTGCCCTTCCCCAATCTTCATGACTTTGCACTTGGTGGGATTGAACTCCTGGAGCCAATTGCTGGACCAGGTCTGCAGCCTGTGTGTGTGTGTGTGTGTGTGTGTGTGTGTGTGTGTGTACTCACCTAGTTGTGGTTGCTGGGGTCGATTCACAGCTCCTGTCCCCGCCTCTTCAACTGGCCACTACCCGGTCACTCTTCCCGCTCTGTGAACTTTATCATATCTCTTCTTAAAGCTATGTATGGATCCTGCCTCCACTACAGCACTACCCAGGCTATTCCACTTCCTGACAACTCTGTGACTGAAGAAATACTTCCTAACATCCCTGTGGTTCATCTAAGTCTTCAGCTTCCAACTGTGACCCCTTGCTGCTGTGTCCCATCTCTGGAACATCCTGTCTCTGTTCACCTTGTCTATACCTCTCATGTGTGTACTCACCAAATTGTGTTTGCAGGGGTCGAGACTCAGCTCCTGGCCCCGCCTCTTCACTGATCGCTACTAGGTCCTCTCTC